CACCACCGCCACACTCTTGCTATGGCTCTAATAGCTCTGACCCCCAGACAACTTTATTTATTAACATACAATCAAAATAATATTTCAGTACAATTAGATAACCACCACAGTTCCCTACTTCAGCCCATCCCAGTATCTCCCTTAGTTCCTTTCTGGGTCTCCAGCAAGCCAATCAGTCAACACAAGACTGAGCAGCAGGAGGAGAACACATGCATTGGATTAATGTTGCACAGCCCTGGAGATTTCCTCAAGGAGATGTGGACCAGAGAAATGACCAAAACATTGGACATGGTACCACACACCTGTAATCCCAGGCCTCAAGAGGATTATGAGTTCAAGACCAGCCTGGGCTACATAGCCTGGCTCAAGAAATCGGGCTGATAATGCAGCTTAGTAGTTGAGTGCCTGCCTGGAGCACACAAGGTTCTATCCACAACCCAAAGGAAATCAAGGACAAGGACCAAGGTTTCCCTGCTTTATGAGGCAAAGTGTTAATTCTGTGGGGAGAAACAGGACCCAGATCTCTGTGTGATTCTAGGGATATCACTTGGTCATCTAAAGGGCTGTGAATCCAGCTGGAAAATGAGTGTCACTCCAGTGAGATCATTTACTTGGGTCCCCATCCCCATGAACAGTTTCTGCTGATGAAGGCTGTTGTTCTGTCTTGGTAACAGCGGACCCCCTCCCAAGAAATCTTCACATTCTGCTGCATGTAGGAAGAGACAGGGCATGTGACCCATCCTGCACACACAGTTCCTCTTTCAGCTTGAAACAGTCAGAATGCCAGTTCAGTGTGAGATGTCAGCTCCTTCCCTGAGAACGCAGCCAGGGTTGGGATCCGTGCCTCACTGGCCTCCACACGGCTTTGACCCAGTGAGTCATGTGGGCATATGCTCTGGACCTTGGCCCTCCTTTAGCACAAGGGACCAATGGGTGTACTAAGCTGAGCACGTGGTGGGTGCGGCAGGAAGGGCACACAGCACAAAAACCTGTCTTCCCTGCTCTGGTCCTGCAGATGCTGTTCGCTGTCATCTCACTGGGTCTCCTGTTGTTGGCCCTCTTCCTGTTCCTGCGACGCCTAGGATGGGGTCTGTTACCGATCATCTGGATTGAATTCGTGCAACAGCCAGTCCGCAACCTGCTCATGGGTGACACAAAGGAGCAGCGCATCCTTCGTCATGTGCAGCAGCATGCCAAGCCTGGAGACCCCCAGAGCATCCTGGATGCCATTGACACCTACTGCTCAGAGAAGGAGTGGGCCATGAATGTGGGTGCCTCGAAAGGTATGTGGCCCAGGCTGCAGGCGGGGCTTAGAAATGGAAACCCAGAACTGGACGTGGTGGTCCAGCCTGCAGGGGAGCCTGTTAAAGGGGAGAGGGAATCATGGGTCATGCCCCTGCCTGACCCCCTTAGAGACAATAACATTTACACATGAAGGAACCACGTAGGTGGTTGGGAGAGTGGGATCGGGGTGGGGTGGTGGGGTGGGGGGGTGGGGTGGGGGTAGTGTGCAAAATCCTGAGGACTCTCCAAGGGGATGTATAGTGAGGTCCTCTGGGCTATCAGGAGGCTAAGGGCCTTTCTCAGCAGCAATCAGGAGCTTGAGACGAGTGGGAAAGGTACTGGTCTAGGGAGGGGTGAGACCCAGACCTGGGGGTGGGGTCCCCCTCCTGCTTGTATTCATATCTTCCTCACCACCCTCTAGGCGAAATATTGGATGCAGTGATTCGGGAGTACAAGCCCTTGCTGGTGCTGGAGCTGGGAGCTTACTGTGGCTACTCAGCTACGCGGATAGCCCGCCTGCTGCCACCTGGAGGCCGGCTCCTCACCATGGAGATGAACCCCGACTATGCTGCCATCACCAGGCAGATGCTGAGCCTGGCAGGCTTGCAGGACCAAGTATGGCCCTGCAACCAGTGTGGCTGGGAGGGCTGAGCGGGCAGTGGGGAGGGAGAGGGGATTGGTTCCGTCACTGAGCACCTGCCATGTCACAGGAAGAAACCCCAGCAGGTTAGGGCACAGTCTCCCTGACCTATCCTACAGAGCCAGCAACTCCAGACTGCCCCAGGAGAGACTACACAGTAGACTCCTCTCTGGAGCCCCGAAGGAAATGATGTGTATACATGTGGGTCCAGGCAGGCTCCTGCATATCCCTGTGGGCACAGCACTGACAGAATACTGTTCCAGGTCACCATCCTCATTGGGGCATCCCAGGACCTCATCCCGCAGCTGAAGACCAAGTATGATGTGGACACCTTAGACATGGTCTTTCTTGATCACTGGAAAGACCGCTACCTGCCAGACACACGTCTCCTGGAGGTGAGCTGAGCGGGCCCTGCCTGGCAGGATGGCTTCTGTGCTGTCACTGCTGGGGTACCTGCGCCTCGGCCTCTGAAGACCCCTACTGTGGTGGCCCAAGGGCATAGCAGGGCCTGGGGTCAGGCTGGGAATCTGGTGGGCTGCAGAGGCCCTGTGGCAGGTGGAAATGAAGGGAGGGCTTCTGGGTAGGAGTGCCAGGCCAGGGATCCCCTGCCCTGCAAGCAGGGGTCTGCTAGGGAGTGAGAAGTGCACCAGAGACACCTGGGCCTGAAGGACACTAGTCCCCAAGGGAGCAAACTGGCCTCAGCTTGGGTCTGACTGGGGGTCCACTGGGCTAGCCACAGGAACGGCAAGCATGGTCTGGGTCTTCCTGAAGCTTCAGCTATACAAGTGCATCTCCCTAGCCCCCGCAGGCCTCAAAACTGCTGCTCTGCCAGCTGCACCTGGCAGAGGCCTCCAGTGAAGAGGCACCCCACTCCCAAGTGACGAGCTTGAGGAGACATGACCTTGTTCTGTGGCCAGAAAAGCGAGAGGGGCTCCTTGGCCTTCACTGGGCTTCCTCACCGTCTTCCACAGCCAGCATGGAGCTGTCCCTGTGCTCTGGCCCAGCCACAGTTGTCTCAAGAGTTGTACACCCTGTCATGTACAGTGAGGTCTGGAATGTGAGGGGTCGGCCAAGGAGCCCATGGGCAGGACAGGCCATTGTGGCTTGGGTGTGGGTCAGATAGTTCTGGGGAATGTAAGGGCACAGAGGAAAGATCAGGCATGAATGAGATTTGGGCAGGTGATGGGGAGGGTGGGTCCTGGCATCCAGAAGGATTTTGGCTGACCTTGTGGAGGCATGGATGGTGCACAGGGAGGGTACCTCAGAGGTCCTTCAAACTGTTGTAGAGGTGCTGAGCACTGTGGTGGGAGTCAGGCATATAGCAGGGCCAGGAAGTTGTACCAGAGAATGTTTCTAGCAAGAGGGCCGGCGGTAGGGGATGGAACGGAGACCAGCAGGGCAGGCCAACCATGGGCAGCTGGCTTGGACAGGCCCACCCCTGGCAGACACTGTACACGAGTACAGACAGCAGAGCAGTCAGGCTCAGTGCAGGGAGTGGGTCTCTGCAGCTCTGTGTGTGTGACAATCTCGGGGCCTGCTTTTAGGAAAACAGCAACCACTGCTGTTCAGTAACTCAGAAACTACCGGATCCCAGCACTGTAGCTCAGCCTGGCAGTCAGCTCCTGAAGACAGGGGTATTGGGAATGGCTGCACTGGATTTTCTTCTTTGATGTATGTTTGTAGAGAACTGAACCCAGAGGACAAACCTTTAAGAATGGTGATCATAAACTAACCTCACCACGAGGCTTAGTGGTGCATGCGTTTAATCTTAGCACTTGAAGGAGGAGGATCGTGTTTGAGGCCAGCCTAGGATACATAGTGAGACCCTGTCCACAGCATCTTACCCACAAATTCTGCACTCCCCTGTCTCCTTAGCCTAGAATCACAGTTACTCACACACGGGTGCACATTCACCTGAGATGTCTTACAGGAGGTTCATGGTACCCAAATACAGACAGGACAGGTGCTGCCTTTGCCTCAGGATAGGGCTTGTTTCCTGAAGGGCAGCAGGTTGCCAGCCCCTCCAAAAGTGCCCATCTTCCTGTAGCGATGAAATCAGGAAGTTTTATGTCTTGACGTCATTAGTCTTATTGACAGTCACCATGTGACTCTCGATGTTTCCAGGTCCCTGGCTGAGCCGGGAACTCCCTGCTCATCTTTTTCTCCCCCTCCTGAACTGCAGGCCCCTTTCTGGACTGGGTAGATGCCTCCTCCACAGCACTTCTTCACCAAGGTCTTTCCACCCAGTGCTGACTTGACATCGTCTTCTGCTTTCACTATGGGTCAGAGGGAAGCTCATTCACACTGTAGCGCATGGGACTATCCCTGAATTTACTGACTGCCTGAGGGTCCCTCAGCTCTCACAGCCCACATGTTCGAAGATTACCACCCCAATCTCTGGGAGCAGCTGGAGCCCTGGACTGTGGTTAGGAGTACAGCTCTGTTCTGCAAGGGCACAGACTCCCCTGCATTAGGATGGTGGGGATGTTTTGGTTTTATGTGTGTGGTGCTGGGAACAGAACCTTAGGCCAAGGTCCCACTGAGGTACACTTCAGCCCTGGCTATTTACTGGATTTATTTACTTCCCAGTTTTGGGTTGCTTTGTGTGTATGTGTTTGAAGACAAATGTCTTATGTAGCCCAGGCTACCCTGGAACTTTCAATCCTCTTGCCTCAGCCTCCTGAATGCTGAGGTTGTAGATATGGGCCACATCAGACAGGATTGCTTTAACTTTTGTGTCATGATTATGTAAAAAACAAACCCTAAGCTTCCTGGGCAACCTTCAAATAAGACATCCAGGTGTCCCGTTTGCTGCTTCCGGCCCCTCTGCACCCCCCCCCCCCAAGGTCCACTCCTTGTCAGGTACTTTGTTATTTATATGCTGTCACTCTGTCAGCAGACATACTTGCCGGAGTGGATAGACAAGTACCCTACAGGGGAGGTCTCTCACAATCACAGATTCAAGAGCCATTGCTTTGAGGGCCCAGAAACAGCTCCCTCCTCCTACTCAGAGCCCAGGCACCTAGTGTCTTCCTTCCCTGGCCCAGGTGGAAAGTCCAGAACAGATCCTCAAGGTCAGGTTGTTGGTGACGACCCATATTTTTGGCATAGAGTGTTTAAGGAAAACTGGCCCTCTGGTCCCCCCATCTCTTCTCATCCTACAAACCTGTGGTGCCCACACGCCCCTCTAGGGCCAGGTTGGATACTGGGGAGGATGGATGGTAGCAGGAAGAGACTCCACGGGGGGACAGCTACCCCTAGACTGCAGTGGGTTTGCCAAGCATTCATGACCCTCCCTGTCTGTCCCCTGCAGGAATGTGGCCTGTTGCGCAAGGGGACAGTTCTTCTAGCTGACAATGTCATCGTCCCGGGAGCCCCTGACTTCCTGGAATATGTGCGGGGGAGCACCAAGTTCGAGTGCACACACTACAGCTCATACCTGGAGTACCGGGAGACAGTAGACGGCCTGGAGAAGGCCCTCTACAAGGGTCCAAGCAGCCCATGAAGTCGTGACCACTCAGCCTACCCTGAGATCCCCTTCCAGCTTCCTTCTGCCTGATGACACACACTCATGCTGACCCCACTGTGCTTCTGGAGCCTGTCCTCAAGTGCTATGGCTCCAGGTTGTCAACACTGGCACACTCTACAGCTAGTGAGCTCACTCACCATCCAAAACCACTGCAGCAGACCCGGGAAGCAGCTGTGAGAAAAGGCTGAACTGAGCTGGAGGTGCAATGGTCACAGTGCCTGCCCCACATGCAAGAGGCCTTGAGTTCAATCCTACACACCAGAAAACCAAAGGGAATGAAAAGTCAGAGCAGGGGTCATCCTGCTGGTGTCACCAACGGTGTCACCTAAGAGATTCTCACAGGGTCAGTGCCAGGTCCCTGGGTACTGCCATCACCAATTAGGGCCCCCAGAAGTCAGGAACCTGGGAATATTCAGATGCCGCTTGGCTGTTACCAGATGGCCACAGCACCTGCGACTGTCTCCAGCCACTCACACTTCATCCTTAGAGT